CCTCTTACCCAATCTATCTGACATCCAACTCCCACTAGAATCCTGTCCCTAGAGAGAAGAACAGCCCTGTAGTGAGATGGTATTGTAAGGGCATTCCCAAATCCTCAGATCTTCTCATTCCTCTCTCAACAACATGTCCAGGACTGTGTGTTAACAGCAATATGGAAAGCCAGTACAAGTCCCAGCTTTCTGGGCGGTGTGAGGTGGTGATGGGAAACCTGGAAATTATGCTTACAGATCACAACTCTGACCTCTCATTCCTGCAGGCTCCTTTTCTTTCATTACCTCCACACTCTACTTTCTTCCCTGGGAGCAGGGAACATTATTCCCAACTTTTTCCTGGTTCCCCTTTTTTCTCCCTATGGAAAAACCACCTTCTCTCTTAGGACCTGTCCTCTACCTTCCCTCCCTGGTAAAGAACTGTGTATATAAAGAGGACAAGAATTGGCAGGAGGCAGGAAAAGGGAGAAGAGGAGGGAGCCCTATGTAGATTATCATGTTGAGAAACAGAATTCCCAAGAGCAGAGTATTAGCAGGAGGGATCCCTTTAGATCAAGAAGCTCAGAAGAAGGCATTGAGGACCAGAATAATCATGTCTCATCTGGTTCTTAGCATCCTGATTCCCAGAGTCTGAAAATGATCTCCAAATTCCAGCTTCCTGCTCCAGAACAGAGAATCTGGAAGACTTGGAATATCCCCTTTCTTCCCCACCCAAAGCCTCCTTGTCTTGTTTCTGTGATTGGAGGAAAGGAGCATGAGACCGTGTTTGACTGATGTGTGTTCACACCTTCTCACTCTTGCTCCTGTGTCCCAACACAGTGGATCCGGGAGGTAACAGGATATGTCCTAATTGCCATGAATGAGTTCTCTACTCTGCCACTCCCCAACCTTCCCTGGTAAGAGGAGCCCAGGTCTATGATGGGAAGTTTGCCATCTTTGTCATGCTCAACTATACCACCAACTCCAGCCATCCCCTACGCCAGCTCCGCCTCAATCAGCTCACAGGTAACAGCTAATTAGTCTACTGACTACATCTACATAGTACACTGACCTCTATGACCAACACACTGGCCTTTCCAATTGACTACTGGCCACTCACTGTCATCTCTTCACCTCTCTTCCCATCCCTTCTCATCCTACCCATTCTTTCACGCATTCTTTCTTCTACTCTCAACAGCTCAAATAACCATATATAACTACCAAACTGACTACCACAAGTCCTCCACACAGGGTGCATACAGAGGAACAAAGATCTTATGCCGCTGCAGGGGTTAAGGGAAGTAATAGCTAAGATCTAGTCTTGACTTGGCCTCTGCCTATTCCTTTGCATTTGGGGTTATTGTACTGTGTTTACCCTGATTTTCTTCTACAAGTTCCCTGACCTCCTCACACCCAAACTACAGTCCCAATTTCTTGTATTTGTCCCCCTAGGGAAAAGCATGCTGGTTAAATATTATTTGGTTCACTTTTCTCTGGCCTCAGCCTCTCCCTCCTACTTCCTTGCCCTAGTCAGTTGAAAAATAAATGGCAGGGTAGCCTGGAGTTGGGGAAGTGGGGAAAGCTGAGTCAGCTGAATCTTCCAGCCTCCCCCTTGCTCTGCCTGTCTTCTGCTGGCTAAACCAGATCTAGGACAGGTGTCTGGAGAACCAAGAGATGCTTCAGCCTCCTTCCCTATCCCCTATCCCCAAACACAGCCTTCTTCTTTGTAATTTGGGCCTCTTCTACCCAAACCCATCTACCTTGCACCCTCGTATCCTTTCAAATATAATCACAAAGCCAGGATAGACGTGTGTGGAAGACCTGTGGTAAGCAACTCAATTTGGTCCTGGAGATTTCAACTCTACCCTACCCATCTTTCCCTCCAGAGATCTTGGCTGGGGGTGTTTACATTGAAAGGAATGATAAACTTTGCCACGTGGACACAATTGACTGGAGAGACATTGTCAGGGACCCACAGGCTGAGATTGTGGTCAAGAACAATGGCAAAAGCTGTGAGTCGCTTCCCCACATTCCCATTAAATTTGCCCTCCAAAGGCGAGTCCCCTCCATTAAACCTTCATCCTCAGTGCCCTAACCCCCAGGTCCATGACACTGAACAAGTTCATCCCTCATGATACTGCACAGGCGCCAGGGTGGACCTACGTATCCTACAAGTGGATAAATTTCCAGGATGAAATACTTTATAGTAGCCTAGTACTGCTATTCCTTCCCCCTCAGGAAAGTCTCAAAAATTATCCTTCAGGTTCCCTGGCAGTTTTATTCAGCCAGATCCCATACTCCCAGGACATTCATCTGGGCCCTTGTAGACTCTTTTGTAAAAATAATATTTTACTATTTTTTCTCAATTACACGTAAAAACAAGTTTTAACATTTTTTTAGAATTTTGAATTCCAAATTCTCTTCCTCCCTCTCCTCCCCCTTCCCTGAGATGGTAAGCAATTTTATATAAATTGTACATGTGCAATCATGCTAAACATATTTCCATATTAGTCATGTTTTAAAGAAAACACAGACCCCCCCAAAAAAAAACCCACCATGAAAAAAATAAAGTGAAAAATTGTACACTTCAATGTGCATTCAGACTCCATAAGTTTTTTCTCTGAAAGTGGGTAGCATTTTTCATAATGAGTCCTTTGGAATTGTCTTGGATCATTGTATTGCTGAGATTAGCTAAGTTGTTCACAGGCGATCATCATACAATATTGCTGTTACTATGTACAATGTTCTCCTAGTTCTGCTTACTTCACTTTGAATCAGTTCATAGAAATCTTTCCAGATTTTTCTGAAACTAACCTGCTTATCACTTCTTATAGCACAATAGTATCCAATTACAATCACATACCACAACTTGTTCAGCTATTCCCCAATTGACAGACAGCCCCTCAATTTCCAATTCTTTGCCAACACAAAAAGAGTTGGGATAAATATGTTTGTATTGGTAGGCCCTTTTCTCTTTTTTATGATCTCTTTGGAATACAAACCTCCTAGTGGTATTGCTAGGTCAAAAGGTGCACATAGTTTTATAGCACTTTGGGCACAGTTCCAAATTGTTCTCCAGAATGGTTGGATTAGTTGACAAGTTTACCAATAGTTCAGGAGTGTCCCAATCCTACATCCCCTCTAACATTTATCAATTTCCTTTTTTGTTATATTAGTGAATCTTGTAGGTATTGAGGTATTACCTCAGAGTAGGTTTAATTCACATTTCTCTAATCTATAGTGACTTAGAGCATTTTTCATATAACTATAGAAAGCTTTGATTACTTCATCTGAAAACTACCTGTTCATATCCTTGATCATTAATTAATTGTGGAATGACCTGTACTTTTATAAATTTGATTCAGTTCTTTATATATTTGAGAAATGAGACCTTTATCAGAGACACATAGAAAAATTTTTCCCACCTGTCCTTGCAGAAACTTTAAAGTCTCATTCAGCCTGGGACACATCAAATAAGCATGCCCATTGCCTCAACCAAGCTCCTTCCTTCTGGGTAGTCCTCTACCCTCATCTCTAATCTCTTATTCTATTGGCCTCACTTCCTGCTCATTGTACCCTCACACTAAGTCTGACTAAGTATTTGAAGGAGCTGTTAAGGAAAGTATAGAGTTGGGACAAGGAGGGAGACAGGGTGACTGTCCTTCCTAACTCTATCACTTTGGAGGATACCACAGCACAAGACATGGGGAGAGATACTGATGGTTTCCTTGTCTCTGCCTTTTTCCTCAACCAGGTCCCCCTTGTCATGAGTCCTGTGGGGGGAAATGCTGGGGTCCTGGACCAGGAGACTGCCAAACACGTGTGTACCTTTCTTAAACCCCTAAACTTCAGTTTCTTAGATCTTCCCCTATGGTTTGACCTGGCTAGTATGAAGACTTTAGTGTGATTTCAGCTAGCAAGGAGTTCGGGGAAGGGTAATGAATAGGCAAGACCATGGGCAAGATAGTGAATAGGGGATAGGTAGATCTTGGTGATGCCTTTTACCATTCTTTCCCTAACCAGTGACAAAGACAATCTGTGCCCCCCAATGCAACGGCCACTGCTTTGGCCCCAATCCCAACCAGTGCTGCCATGATGAGTGCGCAGGTGGCTGTGGAGGTCCCGAGAGACAGACTGCTTTGTATGTACTAGGGTGATGGGTAGGGTCCTTTTTAGTGTGCCCTGGCCAGAAGTCAGGTTGGAGTAGGAGGGAGGCCTGGTGGCTGGGGGAATGTATGGGTGGGCACAAGTATTCCTCCATCCTGACTCTCCCCCTGTTGCCTAGGCATGCCGACACTTCAATGACAGTGGAGCCTGTGTGTCTCTGTGCCCACTGCCCCTTGTCTACAACAAACTCACCTTCCAACTAGAGCCCAATCCTCACACCAAGTACCAGTATGGAGGGGTCTGTGTGGCCAGCTGTCCCCGTAAGTGGCTGCAAGAGGTAGAGAAAGGAAACCTGGGCAGAGATTAGTGGAATAGGAATAGGGAAAGTCACTCTATGGGTTTCTGGATGTGTGTACATAGGGATAGTGACAAGTTGATTGGAGAGGAAGGTTAAAAAAGGGAGACACAGAGATGATGACCCCTCTATGAGGGACTCTTGGGGAGGAGATCAAGGGACTTTTACCAAGGACATGAGATAAGGGGGCTGCAAGAACCCCAGCTGTAGGCAATCAGGACACCTGAGGGTACAGGAGGGGCAGGCCTTCCCTCTGTTCCCAGTGTATTACACAGGGGAAAGAATCTGGGTTGGGAGTCAGAGGATCTTATTTTGAATCCTGGCTCTGCCAGTCACAACCTATGGCCTTCTTAAAAGTCACTTCAACTCTTTGCCTTGAGTTCCTTTATCTGTCAAATGTAGGGAGTAGAGGACATGCTCTCCTAAGTCCTACTCAGCTTTAAATCCTAGAAAGGTCTGCCAGAGGGTGGAATTTGTCTTTTCTAATTTTCTTCCCATCTTCTCTCCTTGCACAGATAACTTTGTGACAGATCACACCTCCTGTGTCAGGAATTGTCCCAGGGACAAGATAGAGGTAGAAAAGAATGGGATGAAGATGTGTGAGCCCTGTGGAGGGTTGTGTCCAAAAGGTGAGTCAGTCATGGTGGTGGGGAGAAAAATTTCCCATCAAATCCCTCTGAATTTCCTTTGACTCCTTCCCATCCCATTTATGTTTGCAGCCTGTGAAGGGACAGGCTCAGGTAGCCGATTTCAGACTGTGGATTCTAGCAACATCGGTAAGTTTGTGAACTGTACCAAGATCTTGGGAAATCTGGACTTCCTTATCACTGGCCCCAAAGGGTTAGACTCTTCTCTTCTTCAAATCCCTCTTGGGTTTTCCCACACTCTTACCCACCTCCTCACCCCAACTCTAACAAAAGAGATGATCATGTGACATCAATAATGCCATCTCCTCTCTAATATCCCTAATAGATGCTTATCTCCCCTGGGCTCTAACACTTCCTGTGATGAGGGACTTGTGCTTTTGTTTTGGGGAGGGCAGCTTATTCCAATGCTGGATTATTGGAAAATTGTTGGAAAGCTCTTGCTTATGTTAATTCCTGTCTGATCCCTATAATTTTTACCCATTTCAGCCTAGTTCTGGTCCTTAGAATAAATTGTGATCTAATCCCTCTTTCAGCTCATCTTAAAAATATTTGAAGAAAACTTTCATGTTTTTCCTCATCTTCCCCAGAGACCCCTGGCACAACATACCTGCCCTGGATCCTGAGAAACTCAACGTCTTCCAGACAGTTCGGGAGATTACAGGTAAGTGGGGTCAGAGAAGAAGAGATGTGTTTCCAGGGAAACAAGTAGACTAGGAACATTGACAGGGGAAACAGTGACCCCAGGAAGGAGCACTGTACCCCAGCTGCTTGGGAGAGACACAAGCAAGAGAGCAGGTGCAGAGGGAAAGAGGGCAGACTTCATTAGGAAAGCTCCCTTCCTCTGCAGGTTACCTGAACATCCAGTCTTGGCCTCCCCACATGCACAACTTTAGTGTCTTCTCCAACCTGACAACCATAGGTGGCCGAAGTCTCTACAAGTAAGTCTGTTTAGAAGCCAGTATTGTTTGACACAGGACCTATTCGGGGGGGGGGGGGCGGCACTTTTTGGCATCAGGCTTACCCACAGTACATTCTGAGAAACAAGTAAGAAGAATTGGGGGTCACTGGGCAAAAAGAAACAGTTCCCACTCAGTTGTCATGGCCCCCTGGTCCTAAGCTTTTTCTCTGGGGCCTCCTTCTTTATATTGCCATTGCCATCCCCAGTCGAGGTTTCTCACTGCTGATCATGAAAAACGTGAACGTGACATCGTTGGGCCTTCGGTCCCTGAAAGAAGTCAGTGCTGGGCGTATTTATATCAGTGCCAACAAGCAGCTCTGCTACCACCACTCTCTGAACTGGACCAGGCTGCTTCGGGGACCAAAGGAAGGGAGGTTGGATATCAAGCACAATCGCCCCAAAAAGGAATGTGGTAAGTGAGGTAGAAGTGAAGGCCTGAGGGGGACAGGCAGTGGTGATATGGAAGTTCCAAAGGGATGGGGAGGTGAATGGGAGAACAGATTCTGAGCTGGAGATTGTGGGACCCAAGGCCAAGCACAGTGGTTGGGATTTGGTGGGTAGACTGAGTTGGGCTCTTCTGACCCACTTCTCCTCCTTCTTCTTTTTTCCAGTGGCAGAGGGTCGAGTGTGTGACCCACTGTGCTCATCTGGGGGTTGCTGGGGTCCTGGTCCTGGCCAGTGCTTATCCTGTCGAAACTACAGTCGAGGGGGTAGCTGTGTGACCCAATGCAACTTCCTTAATGGGTACTGTGGGAAGCTACAACTTATGTACAGAAGCTGCATTCTCAGGTCAAGCCTTGTTCCCTTTATCCTACAGTAAGGACCCATGTGGCTGTGGGCCTAGCTGTGGTAGCAGGGTTGATAGTGATCACTTTATTCTTGCTACTTACCTTGCTCTACTTGCGAGGGTGGAAGATCCAGAATAAGAGAGCAATGAGGCGCTACTTGGAGAGGGGTGACGTGAATGCTTCTTCTTGAACTTAAGGGACCCCAACAGTTCCCACTGGAGAGCCCCTCCCCACATGCTGTTGAGCCACTCTCAGTCAGTTCTTAATCCTCTCTCTTCAAGCAAACAGTGTGGTACAGTGGTAAGAAAACTTGAACTGGGTCATAGTACTGGTTGTGTGACCTTGAGCAAAGCCTCAGTTTCCTCAGCTGTAAAACAGGGATAAGATCTGCCCTACCTCACACAATTGTTGCAAGGCTACGGTGAAATAATGTATGTGAAAGTACCTTGTAAAATGGTATATGAGAAAATCATCTAAATAGACTTCTTTCCCTTCTTTCCCTCCCCCTCTCCACAAAACACACACACACACACACACACACACACATACTCATACACACACAGAGGAAAATTTCCCTCTAAAGTCCTTATTATCACCTTCTCATGGTCCCTGACACCATGGAAATAATACTTTCTCTGCTAGAGCCCTTACTACATAACCTCCAATCCTTACAGCTTTCAGTATTTCCTGTCTCCCAACATGTTTATGATGTTTCTCAAAAATGGTAACTATTACTTCTTCCTTTCACCACTATGGGCTTTATTTCCCTGTCTACTCATTGCTCTCCCTCTAGAACATGGCTAGGGGTGATGGGAAAGGATTCAGCCCAGGAAGAGGTTTTCCTGACTGCTCCCCTCTGTCACCTATAGAGCCTGGAGCCTCTAGACCCTGGTGAAAAGGCCAACAAGGTCTTGGCCTGAATTTTCAAGGAGACAGAGCTGAGGAAACTCAAAGTGCTTGGTTCAGGTGTCTTTGGAACTGTGCACAAGGTGAGGGCAGCACAGGAATTCCTAAGGAGGGAATCAGAGACACAGTGGCCAGAAAAGCAGGAGGCATTAATGGAAGGGGAAGAATATCAAGGGCTGGAGGAAAAGACTTGATATTTGGGGATGATGGCCTTAGGCTCATGTGGTGCTCCCTGGGCCAAAACAAATTAAAAGCATTGAAATCCTGCTTCTATCACTTAAGGCCTATGTGACTTTGGACAAGTCACTTGTCCTCTTTCTGGGTCTATTTCCTCATCTGTAAAATGAGGTCTGTGTCCAAAAGGTGAATCATGGTGGTGAAGATAAAAGTTTTATTCCCCCAAGTTATGGTGGTGGTAATAAAAGTTTTATTCCCCCAAGTCTCCTCTTAGTGACTCCCATCAAATCCCTTCATTTATACCCTGACCTCACTTTACTTTTGAAAACTGTGAGACTCTTTTTAGCTTTTTTTTTTCTTCTTTCTAGCTTTCTTTTGACTCCTTGGCTTTAATTGCTACATTTCTACTCATCTTTCATCTTTTCATCAGCAATGCTTGAAATTCCTCTATTTCATCAAAGGTCTATTATTTCCCAGTAGGATTATATTCAATCTTGAAGGGCAGATTATTTTCCATTGTAAGTCTTTATCTGTTGCCTCTTGCAATAATGTATTCCTAGATTTTCCTTCCCTTAAAGTAGTAACTGCCAGATCTTGCATGGTTCCTTGGAACTTGAATTGTAACTTTGTATCTGTTTGTATTTTTTTTTTTAACCTGGAAGTTTTAGATTTTGGCTATACTTCTGGGAGTTTTGATTTTAAGATTTCTTTCTGTAGGTTAGCAGTGGATTCTTCCTATTTTTACTTTGCCCACTGGTTCTAATAAAGTTGATTAATTTCCATTTATAACTTCTTGAAATACGGTATCCAAAAAAAGAAAGAAAGAAATATGGTATCCAAGGGGCTTTTTTGGTGACATTTCTCAGTGAGTCCTTTTAGTATTTTTGAACTGTTTCTCCTCAACATTTTTTTGCAGGTCATTTGTTTTTGATGACATATAGCTTACATTTTCTATTTTTCAATGTTTTGATTTGTTTGAATACTGATGTGAGAACTGGCCTATCATTAGGCCCTAGCTAATAGAAATTACTCTGTGTTTGACTACTCACTGACCCAACTTTAAACCAGGAAACTCCAATATACCCAAATACTGGTCTTAGGTCAGCTTCACTGAGACAAAGAATTTTGGCAAAGCCCTCTTGATCATAATCAGTTTAGTAAACATCATCTATTTCAAGCATTTAAGGTTAGCAAACTTGCCTAATCACAATGACCTCTTAATCAATAAGGAGTATTGAACTCTAGGTCACCCACTGATTGGCTTCCCCAAAGGTCCTCTTCCCACCTAGTCTCAGGGAATATATCTAGAAACAACAATTAGACATAAGGGCAGACATGCAGAGCTCTGGGCTCTCCATTAGGGATACCACTACATACCCATGGCACCACCTCATGCTTACCCATGGAACTAAAAGGATGAGTACCTGCACACTTACATGTCTATGAGTAATCAACTGCCTGGTCCTTCTCAGTACCTCACCCACGATCTCCTCACAAGCGGTACCCAGGGTGCGGAACTGTAGGATCTAAGAAGATGGTGAGGATCCCCAAGCACTGGGAAGATTCCTCATGGAAAGAGGGGGCAGGCCTGGGAAGTGCTGTCCGGGAGCTCATTAATCTAGGGAATTAGTTCCCCAGACCACACAGGAGTTTACTCACTTACTGGGTTCAGTGCAAAATCAAAGGAAATATTCATTTTCATGCCTCCTGCTCTTAGGAAATAGTTGCCCTCACCTTCCCACTATGACAAAGACTTACACAGAAGGGAGGAGAGACTAGTAATGATAAAGACTCATATTGAAGTGGGAGATACAAGACAACTGAGGTATTAAAGTGAAAGAGTTAGATAACATAAGGCAGAGGTCTATGAAAAGAGATCGAGAACAGCTGAATGAATGATGACTCTGGGGTGGGGGGGGGGCAGCGCCATTCCTTGATTACACTGGAGTTTATGGCATTGTCCAAGAGGACTGTCATCAGATCTCATCCTTTCAAACACATGAGGGAAGTGGTCCATTGGAGGACTTTTTGCCAGAAGTTACTGAAAGGGAATGCCTTCCCCTGACTTGACTCACTTCAAAGTGACTTGACTTACTTTCTGACTTGACTCACTTCAAAGACTTGACCTTAGATATGAGGCTAGGGGCCAGCTCCAGGGTCTCCTCCCCTATTAAAATTCAGTGGCCTGGATGAGGGATTCTCTTTGTGATGGTATTGCTTACAAAAGCATTCTTTTCATTGCTTCTCAGAGGGGGGAGGGCCCCCGACAAAGACCAATTTGCTTTTACTTGGCTTGGAAGGGAGTACACCTTCTCTGTCCTACCCTAATACTACTTAAACAGCCCTGCAGTTTCTCCCCATTGGGTAAAAAACATGTCCAAGGGCCCCTTGCCCCTATGTCATTACAGCCCTACATTACATAGATGACATTGTACTGGTCACTCAAATGGAAAAAGAAAAGTAGAAAGCACAGATTACAGGGATACTAACCCTGATAAGGGCACCTAGGAGGCACAGTGGATAGAGCACTGGGCCTGGAGTCAGGTCAGGAAGACCTGAGTTCAAATTTGGCCTCTGACACTTACTAGCTGTGTGACCCTGGGCAAGTCACTTAACCCTGTTTGCCTCAGTTTCCTCATCTGTACAATGAGCTGAAGAAAGACACAGCAAGCCACTCCAGTGAGTTTGCCAAGAAGACCCCAAATGGGGACACAATGTAAACAACTGAACAATAATAAACCCTGATAAAATTCAGGGAACTGTCAAGCAAGGGGCCCAGTGGGCCAGAGTTCAGTGCAATATATACCCTGGCCTGTAAAGGATGAACTGTTAGTCATGGCCTCCTCTAAAAACAAACAAAAAAAGACACCCAAGAATTAATAGGACTAGGCAGCTAGAAAGGGAGATGGTCAGTGGATAGAACACTGTGCCTGGAGTCAGGAAGACCTGAGTTTGATTCTGACCTCAGATACTAGCTGTGGGACCCTAGGCACATCACTTAACCTCTGCCTCAGTTTCCACAACTGTAAAGTAGGGGTAATAATAGCACCTACCTAGCAATCTAGGATTATTGTGAGGATCAAATGAGGTTTTTATAAAGTGCTTAGCGCAGTACCTCGAACATGGTAGATACTTAATAAAGGCCTATTCCTTTCCCCTTCTCCACTATTTGGTTACTGGCAGTAGCACATTAAAGGACAGCTAGATAGCACAGCGGATAGTGTCAGAAACTCATCTTTCTGAGATCCAATCTGGCCTCAGACACTAGCTGTGTGACCCTAGACAAGTCACTTAACCCTGTTTGTCTCAGTTTCCTCATCTGTAAAATGAGCTGGAAAGGGAAATGGCAAACCACTCCAATATCTTTGCCAAGAAAAATCTCAAGTGTGGTAACATAGGGTCAGGCATGACTGAAATGACTAAACAATACAGGCCAATGAAACCTGCTCCGAGTCAATTGCCTCAGTGGCTTCCTGGGTATATGCCTAAACTATGCATGGTAACCCACTGACCTTTAGCTCCATGGGCAACTGGGAGAGGAATTCATCTAACCCAAATATATACCCGATAAGTCAACAGAAGAAATGTGCTTCTGTACCCATGGAAGAGAGCATGCCCAGGGGCACATAACCAACACACTCTTAACAACTCCACTTCACTGACTTGCCTCCCCAGAAGCAACTACAGTATGTTCTTACAGCAACTGGCACTCCTGTTGGACATGGAATAGCTGCTGTGATGGCATATCCCACTGCCAAACTCACTGCCCCATGCCCTCGAGAGTCACAATGATTAGTGGTTTGGATAACCAGTTTACACTTTTATCAATAATAGTACCTCATTTTCCTCTATCTTTACCCCACAACGGACCTGAGATCAAGGCATCACATAGTACCTACATGCTCCGTATTCCCCTCAGGCAGCTGGGATAACTGAACAATGGAATGGATAGTTAAAAACCCAACTCTTAGACCTCACTTCCAATGACCCACGGAAAAGATGGCTAGATCACCTTCCCGCGCAACCTGCACTATACCCCCAAAGAGGTCTCCTCCCCTAGACCATCTGCAGAACACATATCTATCAGGGAACAGAGATAAGGGATTGCAATTGACTTCCACAGCAACTGATATAAGATACCAGGAGTCAGCGGCCTGGTAAGGCCCTTGTGCTAAAGATGATTTTTATGAGTATTTGGAGGGGTTTGGAGGAGAGCTCAAGCAAGTCACTGCTTTCACGCCGCCATCTTAGCTCTGCCCCCCCCCCCTGCTAAGGATGATTTTTAAATAGAAGAAAACTTCATCTTAAAATGTAAAAACTGGGGCAGCTAGGTGGCGCAGTGGGTAGAGCACCGGCCCTGGATTCGGGAGGCCCTGAGTTCAAATCCAG